GAGCCCTAGCCTTGAGCAAAACAGCTCAAGAACAACTGGGCTTCAGTAACTCACACCTAATCCTAGCTACTTAGGAGGCAGAGATCTGAAGATTGAAGTTTGAAGCCAGTCTGGATAGGGAAGTCTGTGAGACATATCTCCAAATAACCCCCCAAAAAGAAAGCCAAAAATGGAGCTGTGGCTCAAGTGTTAAAGTGCTATCTTTGAGCAAAAAAGCTCCAGGACGGTACCCAAGCTCTGAGTTTAATCCCCAAGATGGGCAACAACGACGAAAACTAAATCAACATCTCAAGGTGCCTGTGGCTTACCCCTGAAATCCTAGTTACATAGGAGGGGGAGATCTGAGGATGACAGTTCAAGGCCAGCCCAGGCAAGAAAGGCCAAGAAGCTCTTACCTCCAATTACCTACTATGAAACTGGAAGTAGCATTGTAGCCCAAGTGATAGAGTGCTAGCTAGCCTTGAGTGTAAAAGCTAAGGGACAGCGCCTAACTCCTGAGTTCAAGCCCTACAACTGAAAAGAGGAAAACAAAAGGACACCTATACCATATAGGTATAAGAAAATTCATTTTGGGGTTGGGAATGTGGCTTAGTGTTAGAGTGCTTGCCTTGCATACATGAAGCCCTGGGTTCAATTCCTCAGTACCACATACACAGAAAAAGCCAAAAGTGGTGCTGTGGCTCACTTGGTAGAGGGCTAACCTTGAGCAAAAGAAGTTTAGGGACAGTACCCAGGCGCAAAGTCCAAACCCCAGGACTGGGGGGAAAAAAGAAAATTCATTTTTAAGGATCTGTAAAGCTGGGCACTGGTGGTTCACACCAGTAATTCTAGCTACTCAGGTGTCTGAGATCTGAGGATCATGGTTTGAAAGCAGCCTGGGCAGGAACGTCTGTGAGATTCTTCCCTCCAATTAACTACCAAAAAAGTGGAAGGGATGCTTTGGCTCAAGGGATAGACCACCAGCCTTCAGTGAAAAACCCACCAAGAGCATGAGGCACCTGAGTTCAAACCTCAGGACCAGCATGAAACAAAAAAGTCCATGTATTAGTTCCCAAAGAAGACTTCAATACACTGGTAAGAACTTAAGATAAAACTTCCTAAAATTGAGAAATTTATATTATATAACTTTTTCCTTTGTTTTAAAATTATAATTTCATTAAAAGTAAAGATCACTTTGTTTCTCTGGGTCTGACTTAATGTAATTTTTTCCAATATCAAGATGCATTGTATTCATAAGCGGCTTTGTTATATGGCCTCTCCTTTGTACAACTACATGTGTGTATATATAAATAAAAATTTTATGTTTATTTATTTTTTGTCGGTCGTGGAGCTTGAACTCTGGGCCTGGACACTGTCCCTCGGCTCTTCAGCTCAAGGTGAGCACTCTACCACTTGAGCCATAGAGCCACTTTCCAATTAACTGGTGGTTAATTGGAGATAAGAGTCTCACAGACTTTCCTGCCCGGGCTGGCTTTGAACCATGATCCTCACATCTCAGCCTCCTGAGTAGTTAGGATTACAGGTGTGAGTCACTGGTGCCCAGCTTTAAATACAGGCTTTTTTGTTTGCTTGTTTTTTGGTTGGTCACGGGGCCTGAACTCTGGGCATGGGCACTGCCCCTCAACTCTTGAGCTTAAGGCAAGGGCTCTACCACTTGAACCACAAGCACCACTTCTGACTTTTTCTGCTTATGTGGTGTTGATGAATCGAATCCAGGGCCTCATGCATGCAAGGCAAGCACTCTACCAATAAGTCCGTTGAACAATCAACAGGATATATAAAGAACTATAAACCAATTGAGAAGTGATAGTAGCCAGGCACTGGTGATCCAACACCTGTAATCCTATACATTCAGGAGGCTGAGATCTGAGGATCCTGGTTTTTAAGTCTGCCCAAGTAGAAAAATCCAAGAAATTCTCATATGAAGTTAACTATCAAAAAACTAGAAGAGGAGTGTGGCTTAAGTGGTAGAAAACCAGCCTTGAGTCAAAGAACCAAGTGAAAGCTTGAGGCTCAGAATTCAAGAACCGGTAGTGACACACACAAACACAATCATAGACACACACAATTTATGAGAATATAGGCAAGGGCTGGGAAAGTGGCTTAGTGGCAGTGCTTGCCTCGCATGTATGAAGCCCTGGGTTCGATTCCTCCATACCACATACACAGAAAAAGCCAGAAGTGGTGCTATGGCTCACGTGGTAGAGTGCTAGCCTTGAGCAAAAGAAGCTCAGGAACAGTGCCCAGACCCTGAGTTCAAGCCCCAGGACTAGCAAAAACTATATATATATATATATATATATATATATATATATAGGCAAAATGATGAAGTAATTAGTAAGGATATAGACAGAAAATAGAACTGTGAAATCCTAGAGTTCTTTAAAGGAAAAAAAAGATTACACAGCTGGGTGCTTGTAGCTCACACCTGTAATCCTAGCTATTCTGGATGTTAAGATCTGAGGATCTGGGTTTGAAGCCAGCCTGAGCAGGAAAGTCCATGAGACTCTTACCGTAATAAACTACTCAGAAAAGGCCAGAAGTGGCACTGTGGATCAAGTGGTAGAGCACTAGCTAGCCTTGAGCAAAAGCAGCTCAGGGACAGCACCAGCCCCTGAGTTCAAGCCCTAGGACCACCCTCCCCCCCACAAATAAAAGGTTAAATAATAACAAAAAGCATCTATATACAGAATTACCAGTCGTATTAGAGAATAACCAGTGAAATAAATAAAATGAAAATATTTAAATGTTCTTTGTTCATTAATTAATTCCAGAGTGGGTAGATTGAAAACAAAATCTAAACAGCCCAATAATTACAAGGGGGGAAATCTAAGAGAGTTGATGAGGGATGCCCTGAAAGTTACATAGGTAGAATTCTCTAAAATCTTGAATGAAAAATCTTTTTAAGCTGGGTGCCAGTGACTCATTCCTGTAATCCTAGCTACTCAGAAGGCTGAGGTTTGAGGATCATGGTTCAAAAACAGCCTAGGCAGGAAAGTCCATGAGACTCTTATCCAAATAACCACCAGAAAATTAGAAGTGGCAAATGTGACTTAAGTGGTAGAGTGCTAGCCTTGAGCTGAAGAGTTCAGGAGCAGCACCCAGGCCTAGAGTTCAAGCCCCATGTCTGCAAAAAAAAAAATCTTTTTATATCTAATACGTTATTTCACATATACTTCCCAAATTACAGGAAGAAGGAATTTGAGGGGTTTTTTAGCCTAGGCTAGCTTTGAACTCTTGATTGTGTCCTGCTTTAGCTCCCTAGTGCTAGGATTATAGGCATGTGCCATTCCAGTGAAAACTAACATTTAGAGGTAGAGAGAGTACTAACGTTTGAACTCTGGGCCTCAAGTTTGCTAGTCAGGACTCTTACCTCTGAGGCAGTCGTGTGTGTGTGTGTGTGTGTGTGTGTGTGTGTTGCTTTGATTTGGTATTTTTTGCTTTTGTTTGTTTTGCTTGTTTTGGGGCAAGTTCTGGGGTTTTAACTTCAGGCCTTATTCTTGTTCCATTTTTTCATTCACAATGGTACACTCCCACTCCAATTCTAGCTTTTTTCTGGTTAATTAGAAATAAGAGTCTGGAGTATTTGCCCAGGCTGGCTCTAAACCACAATTCTCAAATCTCAACCTCCTGAATATCTAAAATTATACTTGTGGGATACTGGTGCCTGGAATCTACTAATTAGTTTTGAGATAGGGTATCTCTTCTGGGGTGCCTCTAACCGGGATCTGCCTATGCTGGGATTCCCCTCCTGCTTTGGACAGTAGGCATATTCCACTTCCTAACTCTTCATTGAGAAGTCATCTTGAGAATTTTTCTATCAAGGATGTCCTCAAACTGCTATCCTCCCACTCTCAGCCTCCCAAGTAGCTAGCTTTATAAACATTAAAAACTAACAATTTTAGCCAAGATAACAATGATACATCTATTAATGATACATCTATTTTTGGAGAAACAGAAAAAAACTACATTTACATGGTATATTTCAAGAATGCAAGGATAGTTCATCATTAGAAACTCACTTTGAATGTGGGGAATGTTTGTCTTTTAGGGAAACATTTCCTCATCTAACATGGTATTAAGGCAATATTTTTTTTAAATTACTACCCTGTCGTGGTAATAGCTTAATATTTAGACTTAATGATCACTATCTTGCAATCTAGCAATCTCTTAACTATCACTGATATTAAGTGTTGGCTTATGAATATAGATCCGTGAAACTAAATAAAAGGAAATAAAGTATACTGGAAGTATAGGCACTGGTGGAATGCTTGCATCGTGTAAAGGAAGTCCTGAGTTCAACCCCCAGCCCCCCCCACACACACACCCACACACACATAAAACTATTTAGCAGGGGAAAAGGTTTTCCGTTATTCACAGACACTGTTATAAACTTCACAGCTCATGGGGGGGAGGGGCGAACGTTGGGAGTGGCACTTAAGATGAAATACAGAAATAAAATGTCGAAAAATGTGGTAAAGAACCTCATTGTGCCCCCTGACCGACAAAAAGAAAGAAAAAAAGAACCTCATTGTGAAATTAATATCCATCTAACTATAGCCGTTGGACTGGCTGCAGGAATGCCTAGTTGCAAGTACACACTGATGCATAACACTGTGGTGGGTAGCTGCGGATATGCGAACGGAGTATGCGCACTGAGTGCCCAAGTCAAGTGCCCGTTTGCTGGGTGAGGTCGGAAGTGGCTATTGTGTACAGGCTGTACACTTAGTGGGCGGGGCCTGCCACAACTGCGCGACGTGGTGGGCGGGGTCTGAAATGGCGACGTAACGTGATCACATGGTGACGTTACGCCGTCACGTGTACGTTTGCTCCCAGAAGCACTTGCTTTTTCCGCTTCTTTCGGTGAGGGTGACGCAGTTTCAAACCCGCTCTTCCGAAAGTGGCTTTTTCCGTTTGTAGACTGCTTACGCGCTTCTCTGGAGGTGAATTTCTTCACTGACGAGTAGCCCGGTGGCAAATTCGCTACAAAGACTTCAGCCATGGCGTCAGAAAACATTATCTATATTACCACAGAAAACGCGGAATTTCCGGCCGATATTCTCGAGGTAGGCGGAGGAGGCGCGGTAGAGGGTCTGCCTGAGGGGGCTCTGACTGTCTACCAGGATCTCAGTGGTGATTGGGCTCACGGTGGTCATTACGACTCCCCTCTCATTGCTCTGCAGCCGTTAGGTATTGGCAGCCTCAGCCACGGAGACCATGACCAGGAAGTGATCGTGGTGCAGACCCGAGAGGAAGTGGTGACCTGCCACGATTCCGAGTGCGTACCCACCATCCATGAGATCTTCGACCAGGTACCCATTCCATGCCCTGATATTGATGACGACTTCGAGCAGACCCTGGCCGCCCTCGCAGCTTCAATGGAGTCCGTCGCATACGGACCCAGCTATGAGGGCAACGACAACAATCCCGGCTATGTGTGTGATGCCTACCAGGATCTTGGCTTCAGTTATGAGCACCAAGATAATGAGGAGCTCAGTGGTAATAGCTACCACGGCCAAAAGGAGAGCAACCAGACCGAAGAAGGCACCAGCAGCCAGGTCAGTGATGGCATCAGCTGTGCCGACCTGGGGCTGCAGGAGCAGGTGCAGTTCCCAAACCTGGAGGGTGAGTTCTCCATCGCTATGTGGGCTACCAGTGAGAAAAGTGAGCCTGAGAGCCCCAAAGAAGCAGAAAGTTCGCCTCCCGATTACTCCGAATATTTGATGGGGAAGAAATTCCCTCCTGGGGGCATACCTGGTGTTGACCTCTCCGATCCCAAGCAACTTGCCGAATTTACTAGCATGAAGCAGAAGAAACTCAAAGAAGATGGGCCGAGAACCACCCCATGTGCTCATCCGGGCTGCGCGAAGATGTTCAAGGATACTGCGGCTATGAAGAAGCACCTACATATCCACGGGCCCAGAGTGCATATGTGTGCTGAGTGCGGCAAGGCCTTTGTGGAGAGCTCCAAGCTGAAGCGCCACCAGCTAGTCCACACTGGTGAGAAGCCTTACCAGTGCATCTTTGAAGGCTGCGGCAAGCGCTTCTCGCTTGATTTCAACCTGCGCACCCATGTCCGCATCCACACTGGAGACCGGCCCTTCGCATGCCCCTTCGATACATGCAACAAGAAGTTTGCCCAATCTACCAACCTGAAGTCGCACATCCTAACCCACACCAAAAATATGCACAACCACTGAAGATGAGAGAAGGGACAGAAATGTTCCTTCTTTCTACATGCCCCAAAGTTTGAAAATGAATTTTCCGTTAGCTGCTGGTCAGCATTTGTTTGGGATAGAAGTAGTAAGTTTCCAAAAGGAGCGTTTGTACGGGATGTTACTGAGAGACTGTTCGTCTTGTTTAGTGATGGTATTTCTGAGAATTTTGGTTTCAATAGACTAATTTGTGGATGTCACATCAAAAAAAGACAGTCGCCTGATTGAAGAACTGGTTAAAAACGACTTCATCTTTTTTGGTGGTAGAGTTTCTAGGAACTTTGGTTTCAATAGACTAATTTGTGAACCGTACATCCAAAAGGCCTGATTAGAGAACTGGTTAAAATCTGGACTTTTTATATAAGTACCAATAGCACTTAGTTTGTTTATACTTTTTTTAATTTGTATTTTAAGTGTTCATGTTACGCTTTTACAACTATGTGTGTCTTTTCTAGAAGTTGACAACTTTGGTTTTAAAAGTTTGCTGTAAAAAAATGTTTTATAGATATTTTTCTGCTACTATAAAAAAGGTGTATGGGTTTTTTTACGATCTTAGTATTGGTTATCTTCCTTGAATTGAGCATATTTTTTTATAAATTTTAGCTATACAGAGAAACACAGTAATGTCATCAGTGAGTTCAGACCTGGCAGTCACTTTGGGTTTTTTTTTTCAATATTAATTAGGTGCTTTTGAGTGTAATTTGTTTGACTGAAGTAGTGGTTAGTATAATTTTTCTCTTTATTAGTGGATACCTTATATGTAAACATACATCTTGTGTAACAGAAAAATAAAATAAAACAGTTCTAAAAACAACTGGCCTGCATGTATGTATATATAAATATATGTATATATCATTACTAAAAATAGAGGAATGGGAAAAAATTAAAAATTTTAAAACATAAAGGGAACTGGGTACTTGGTGGCTCTTGACATCTACCACTGGCACACAAAAAAAAGCAGAAAGGACGAGGTATAGCTCAAGAAGAAGAGTATCTTTGAAAAAATGTGTTATTACTAGGACTTGTACTCTGGACCTTACACTCTTACATGCCTCCTCTTCTGTGCTGATCCTGGAGCTTAAATTTAAGAGCCTGGGCACTATCCCTGAGCTTTTGTCCTCAAGGCTAGCACACTAGCACTCACAGCTCTACTTCTGGCTTTTTTGGTGGTTAATTGGAGGTAAAAGTTTCATGGCTTTTTCCTGCCTGAACTGGCTTTGAACTAAGAGCCTCAGATCTCAGCTTTCTCAATAGCTAGGGCTACTGGCCCATGCCACTGTCAACCTGGCTTAAAAATAGGCTTAAAATGCCAATTAAGCCAGAAGCCACATGCTGGTGGCTCACTCCTTTAATTCTTGTTATGCAGGAGGCTGAGATCTGATTATGGTTCATACCATCCCAGGCAGGAAAGTCTTTGATAACTCTTCATCTCCAATTAACCACCAAAAAAAAACTAGAAGTGGAGCTGTGGCTCAAGTGGTAGTGCACTAGCCTTGAGTAAAAAAGCTCAGGAACAGTGCCAAGGTCCTGAGTTCAAGCCCAGAACCAGCCCCTTCCCCACCCCACTCCAAAAAAAAGAGTCTCACAGACTTTCCTGCTCAGCATGTTGGTGGGGCCTGGGAGAGAGTGAGGGAAGGAGTGACACAGTCCAAAAAGAAATGGACGTGGGGCGGTGGGATAGAGGAGCGAGAGTGTGATTCCAGCGATCAGGCGCCGCTTATTCCCGCCACTTATTCCCGTCGCTTGTTTTCGCCGCTTATTCCCACCGTTTGTTCCTGCTGCCAAAGCTGTGCGTCTCCCTGCCACCACCAAAGCTGGCAGCCATATCTGAGGAGGGATTAAAAAACGGATAAAAGCCACAGCAACCGGAAGGTGGGGGAGGGGCGGGGGTGTCCTGTGGCGTAGTTCAAGATAGAGAGACTCACCTTGAGCAAGTGGATGAAGGCCTACTATAAGAGGCAGGGCTTGTCAGTTAGATTCGATTGTGATAGATAAAACAGACTGGCACAGCTGGAAATGAAGACACCATAGAGGTCTTTGGGAGGGGCCGAATTGGAGACACAGCCTCCCTAGGGTACCATCGCACAGCTACCATCACGACTACCGTTATTCCCATTTTTTTACTGTTAAATGGTGAACTTGTGGCCTTGCCGATCACAGAAGCCTCTGCCAGAGTCAAGAAGTTCGTTGGGTACATTAAAAATATTATGGACTCGAGAAATTTATATTTATAATAAGCTATAGGGCACTATTGTGGGTGATTCTAGGAATAATATGAGCTTTTATGTACCTGCTATGTCTTCTGGTGACCTGAAAAATGTTTGAAAGTTGAGATAGGGTTTTGATTTTTCTTCTTCTTCTTTTTTTTAATGCCAGTACTTGGACTTGAACTTCACACCTTGAGCTCTCTCTGTTTTTCACTCACAGCTGATATTCTACCACTTAAGCCATCGCTCCAGCTCCAGCATTTTGCTGGTTAATCTAAATCAGATTAAGATTTTAATACCTGACAGGAAGGCAGCCTCTAACAGAGTATCTGCCTACTGTATTTGTTAGTACTCTGCTTCACAGCTTCTCATCACTTTATTAATTCTCAGAATGTATGTGTGTTATAAATCTGGCTACCTATATCATTCTTGCTCTTGATGAACTTACTAATGCTTTTGTCTCTTTGCAGGTATCTGGCATAATTTCGTCCTTGCCCTCCTGGGTATTTTAGCTCTTGTCCTCCTCCCAGTAATTCTCTTGCCTTTTTACTACACTGGAGTGGGAGTGCTTATCACAGAAGTTGCTGAGGTAAATAATGGATCTCTCGTGGGGCATTTTTCACCAGATGTTGTGATATAATACTTAACAATGTTATGTCTTCTTTTTTTTTTTTGGTGTTAGTACTTGTGCTTAAACTCAGCCCCTTTGACTCTTGCTGGGCTTATTTGCTCATAGCTGGAACTCTAACACTTGAGCCAGGCCTCCAATTAAGGCTTTTTGCTAATTAACTGGAGATAGATTCTTCTATCTAGGCTGTCTTTGTACAGGGTTCCTGACATCTCAGCCTTGTAAATAGTTAAGAATACAAGCATGAGCCATTGCAATCAGCTGGATTGTGTGTGTGTATGCCAGTCCTGGGGCTTGAATTCAAGGTATGAGTGCAGTACCTGAAGTTTTTTACTCAAGGCTAGTGCTCTGCCACTTGAGCCACAGCTCCGCTTTCAGATTTTTTTTTTTGCTGGTTAATTGGAAACAACAGTCTTATTGGGATTGGAGGCATGACTGGGTTGAGTAATAAATAAAGCATCAGGTACTGAGTTCCAGTTCTGGTCTCACAACAAAAAGAAAGAAGTGTCTCATAGACTTTCCTGTCCATGCTGACTTTGAACCATAATCCTCAGATCTCAGCCTCCTAAATAGCTAGGATTACAGGAGTGAGCCACCATTGCCTGGCTTCCAACTAGGTTTTTTTTTTCTTTTTCTCTGCCAGTCCTGGGGCTTGAACTCAGGCCCTGGGTGCTGTCTCTCTTTTTTTTTTCTAAAGTCTAGCACCCAACCACTTGAACCACAGCTCCACTTCCAGTTAATTAGAGATAAGTCTTCTGCCCAGGCTGGCTTTGAACTGTAAATCTCAGATCTCAACCTCCTGAGTAGCTAGTGTTATAGACATGAGCCACCAGCATCCAGCCCCAGCTGGATTTATGTTTTTAAACTGGAAAAATGTTTCACTCTTAGATGATTTATTAGATTTTTTATTTTGTTAATTGTCTAGATACATAGATCTTAAATTCAAAGGTAAATTGTTTTATACAGTATGCAAAATATTCTATTGAAATAGCTCCGTTTATATTGTTTGCTTAGATTAATCAATTTATCTTTTTTTTCTTTTTCTTTTTGTTGGTTGTGGGGCTTGAATTCTGGGGCTGGGATAACTTATCTTTATATATTGTCTGATTTGGTTTTGCCATCTTTCCAAGGATTCACCTGCCATTGGACCCCGAGGCCTTTTTGTGGGAGACCTTGTCACTCATTTACAGGACTGTCCTGTTACTAATGTGCAAGACTGGAATGAATGTCTGGATACCATTGCCTATGAGCCCCAAATTGGTTACTGCATAAGCGCATCAACTTTACAACAGTTAAGCTTCCCAGTCAGAGGTACGTATATTAGTAAAATGCGTCCAACACCAGAACTTTGCAGTTACTAACCCTTAGACCATATCTATCGATTTATTTCATTCTTTTTTAAATTTGTGACAATTGCGGGGCTGTACCTTGGGGCCTCTCACTCTTGCTGAGCTTTTTCACTCAGGGTTAGTGCTTTACCACTTGAGCCATGCCTCCACTTCTGGCTTTTTGCTGGTTAATTGGATATGAACTCTAGCATTTGTCTGCCTGGGCTGGCTTTGAATTTTGAGCCCCATCTTTCAACCTCCTGAGTAGCTAGGATTACAAGTATGAGGCATCAGAACCTGGCTCGCACATGCACTCTGTCTCTTTCTTGTTCTCTCTCTTTCTGTTTTCCTTTGGTTGGTGCGGATACTCCGACTTGAACTCAGGGCCTGGGCACTGTTCATGAGCTCTTTCCTGCTCTACTATTTGTGGCATTTTGGTGTTTAATTGGAAAAAAGGGGCCTCATGGACTTTTTTCTTCCTGGGCAGCCTCCTGAGTAGCTAGGCTTGCAGGGATGAGCCACTAGCACCTGGCTTATTCTATCTTTTGTTTTGTTTTTGTTTTTTACTTGGTCCTGGGTGGGGCTTGAACTCAAGATCTGATCACTGTTTCTGAGCTTGCACTCTATACTTTGAGCCACAGATCCATTTCCACCTTTTTGGTGGTTAATTGGAGATAAAAGCCTCATTGACTTTCCTGTCCAGAGCTGGCTTTGAATTGTGATCCTTTCAGATCACAACCTCCTAAGTAGCTAGATGTACAGGTGTGAGTCATGGGAACCTGGCTCATTCTAATTTTTAAAATAAATCAGTAGGGGCTGGGAAGGTAACTCAGTGGTAGAGTGCTTGCCTCACATGCATGAGGCCCTGTGTTCAATTCCTCAGCACCACATAAGCAGAAAAAGCCGGAAGTGGCATTGTGGCTCAAGTGGTAGGGCGCTAGCCTTGAGCTGAAGAGCTGAGGGACAGTGCCCAGGCCCAGAGTTCAGCCTCCATGACTGACAAAAATAATAATAAATAAATAAATCAGTAAAATAAATTGTTACAAACTAATATTCCCCTTGGCATGCTGGATATTAATATGTGTATTTTCTTTACTATATATTGTTCTTTTGTGGGTGTGTACCAGTCCTGGGACTTGAAATCAGGACCTAAGCACTGTCTCTGAGCTTCTTAGGCTCAAGACTAGCACTCTACCACTTGGGCTACAGCTCCACTTCTAGATTTTCTAGTGGTTAATTGGAGGTAAGAGTCCCAAGGTCTGGCTTTGAACTGCTATCTTCAGATCTCAACCTCCTGAGTAGCAAGGATTACAGGTGTGAGCCACCAGCACCAACTTGGCTTTCTTTTATTTCTTTTTTTTTAATTTTTGTGTCAGTCTAGGGGCTTGAAATTAGGGCCAGGGCACTGTCACTGAGCTTTTTTTTGCTCAAGGCTAGCACTCTACCACTTTAAGCCACAGTTCCGCTTCCTGTTTTTTAGGTGGTTAATTGGAATAAGAATCTTGGTGGGGGTACCTCTGGGCCTCTGTTTCCCTTCTGATTTTTTCCTCCCTTCCCCTTTTCTCCCTTTCTGGGTTTTCCCCCCTCTATTCTTTGTGTCTCCCAACTCCTTCACAGGCCTCTTTCCCTTCACCTACCCCACCATCTCAGTTCCCCTACCCTGGGCCCCTGGGGAAATCCCCTCTGAGAAGAGCCAGCCCATAGAAACTGACAGCCTTGGTCTGGTTCCTACCCCCACTGCCTGTGAGTTACCATTTTTGGCCTTTTGGCTAGAGTGACCTTGCTCAGATTTCTCTTTGGGGAAGTCCTGGCTACTTTAATTCAGCTTAGGAAAGCAAAATGGTTGAAACTAGCCTTGACTTGAGATCTTCCTGCTTCAGCCTCCTGAGTGCTGGAATTACAGGTGAAATGCTAGAAGCTATCAATAGTCTTTACACTGAATGTCTCTGAATTATACTTGATAAATTCAGTTCTTAATACTTCACCTGGGGAAGTGGCACTCTGGCTTAAAGCAGTAGAGCGCTAACCTTGAGTGAAAAAGCACCCAGGCCCTGAGTTCAAGCTCCACAACTGACAAAAATAAAAATGAAATAAAGTAAAACAAATACTTCACCTGCATGAATGAGGAAATACAAATGTGCTAGAGCTCATATTAAAGTTGTTTCTTGCATGTGATGTCATTCCAGCCATGGACTCATGGAGATTGAGCATGTATTAAGGGTCTCACTGTGTGGTCCTGGCTTACTTTAATTATTAGAGTCTTCTGCCTCAGCCTCCCAATTGCTAGGAGTACAGGTGTACACCAACTTGCCTAACTCCTATTTTACTTTTCTGATCATTAATTTTTTTCTTGTTATATTGAGGTTTAGAACTCAGGGCCTTGCACTTGCTATGTAAGTACTCTACTAGTTGAGACATGCCCACATCCTTTTGGCTTTAGTTATTTTTTTCAGATAGAGTTTTGAAGTTTTTCCATGGACTACCCTTGAACATAGTCCTTTTTCCTATGCTTCCTGCATATCTGGGATTACAGGTGTAAACTACCACACCTGGCTTATATTCAGGGGCTGGACTCTAACTTCTTGCCAGAGCTGGCCTAAAATCAAGATTCTCCTGAGGTGGCTCAGTGGTAGACTGCTTGCCTTGCACGTATGAGGCCCTGGGTTGGATTCCTCAGCACCATATAAGCCGAAAAAGCCAGAAGTGGCACTGTGGCTCAAGTGGTTGAGTGCTCGCCCTGATCTGAAGAGCTGAGGGACAGTGCCCAGGCCCAGAGTTCAGGCCCCACAACCGACAAAAAAAAAAAAAAAAAAGATTCTTCTTGGGGCTGGGAAGGTGGCTTAGTGGTAGAGTGCTTGCCTAGCTTGCATGAAGCCTTGGGCTCGATTCCTCAGTACCATATAAACAGAAAAAGCCAGAAGTGGTGCTGTGGCTCAAGTGGTAGAGTGCTAGCCTAGCATGCATGAAGCCTTGGGTTCGATTCCTCAGTACCACATAAACAGAAAAAGCCAGAATTGGTGCTGTGGCTCAAGTGGTAGAGTGCTATTCTTGAGCCAAAAAGCTCAGAAACAGTGCCCAGGTCCTGAGTTCAAGCGCCAGAACTGCCCTCGCCACCCCCCCCAAAAAAAGGATTCTTCTTATTTATGCTTCTTTAGTAGGTGGGATTACCATCATGAGCCACATTGTGCCATCATTAAAAAAAAATAAAATAAAATAGGTCAGGCACTGGTAGCTCACGCCTGTAATCCTAGCTACTCTGGAGGCTGAGATCTGAGGATCACAGTTTAAAACCAACCTGGGCAGGTCCATAAGACTCTTATCTCTAGAAAATGGGAAGTGGAGCTGTGACTCAAGTGGTAGAGCGCTAGCCTTGAGCTGAAGAGCTGAAGGACAGGGCCCAGGCCCAGAGTTCAAGCCCCATGACTGTCAAAATTAATTAATTAATTAATTAAATTAAAAAAAAATCCTGCTGGGAATGTGGCTTAGTGGTAGAGTACTTGCCTAGCATGCATGAAGCTCTGGGTTCAATTCCTTAGTACCACATACACAGAAAAAGCCGGAAGTAGCTCTGGCTCAAGTGGTAGAGTGCTAGCCTTGAGCAAAAAGAATCAGGGACAGGGCCCAGGCCCAGAGTTCAGTCCCCAAGACTGGCACAAAAATAATGCCTATCGATAGGTATTTGTAAATAAATTTTTAGAATTTTGAATTCAGATAAATAAGAAAATACCTGAGCATAGTGTTTAGAACACAGTATTCAATAAATGATAGGTGCTACTGTTATTACTTGAAATGATTGCTTCCTGTGGTCAGAGCCTGGGGCCTTTATATTAGAGATAATAACAATGAGAAAATATCCTTTTTATGCAGCTTCTTATCCTTCTGAAGTTAATAATAATACTCTCCTTTAAAAAAAAAGTCTTAAGGACTTTCCTTCTCAGGCTGGCTTCTAACTATGATCCTCAGATCTCAGCCTCCTAAATAGCTAGGATTACAGTTGTGAGCCAATGGAACCACACATGTGTGTGTGTATCCATACACATACACACACACACATATACATATTTGTGTATATATATGGTTGTCAGGTTGGTTGTGGGGCTTAAACTCAGAGCCTGGGCACTGTCTTTGAGCTTTTTTGCTCAAGTCTAGTGCTCTACCACTTTGAGCCACAGCTCCACTTCTGGTTTTCTAGTGGTTAATTGGAGATAAGAATCTCACAGATTCCTTCCCGGGCTGGCTTTGAACCACAGTCCTCCGACCTCAGCTTTCTGAGTAGCTAAGAATACAAGTGTGAGCCACTGGCACCCCAACTTCCAACTTTTTTGGTGGTTTATTGGAGATAAATGTCTCATGAACTTTGCTGCCCAGACTGGCTTCAAATCATGATCTCAGGCCTCATCTTCCTGAATAGCTAGAATTACAGGCGTGAGCCACTGGTGCCCCATGAGAACTATATACTTTTTCTTTTTTTGTTGGTTGTGGGGCTTGAACTCTGGGCCTGGGTGCTGTCCCTCAGCTCTTCAGCTCAAGGCTAGTGCTCTACCACTTGAGCCACAGTGCCACTTCTGATTTTCTGGTGGTTTATTGAAGATAAGAGTCTCATGGACTTTCCTGCTGGGATAGTTTTGAATTGTGATCCTCAGATCGCAGCCTCCTGAGTAGCTAAGATTACAGGCATGCGCCACCAATGCCTGGCTAGGAACCATATTCTTTAATGTTCAAATATTTTCCAATTTCTCTAGCCTCTAGAGCTACCTAACATCTTCCAAAAGTTTTCCTATTAGACCATTCTCCACTATCTCTTTCACTAAGAAAGGAGTTACTGGAGTTACTATTGCTAAACCTTTTGAGACCCTGAAACGCCAGCTTCGTGGATAAATTAAATTAAATTTATTTATTTATTTATTTATTTATTTTGCCAGTCCTGGGGCTTGAACTCAAAGCCTGGGCACTGTCCTTGAGCTTCTTTTGCTCAAGTCTTCACTCTACCATTGAACCACAGTGCTACTTCTGGCTTTTTCTATTTATGTGGTACTGAGGAATTGAACCAGGGCTTCATGCATGCTAGGCAAGCCACATTCCCATCCCAAGTTGAGTTAAATTTATGAAGGCATACATCATAAAGTCACTGTGGTTTCTTCCTTTTTTTTTTTTGTCGTTTGTGGGGCTTGAACTCTGGGCCTGGGCATTGTCCCTCAGCTCTTCAGCTCAAGGCTAGCACACTACCACATGAGCCACAGCGCCACTTCCAGTTTTCTGGTGGTTAATTGGAGATAAAAATCTCAGGGACTTTCCTGCTGGCTTTGAACCGTGATCCTCAGATCTCAGCCTCTTGAGTAGCTAGGATTATAGGTGTGAGCCACTGGTGCCCAGCTCACTGTGGTTTCTTGATTTCAAATTAATTGAATCTCCTTTCAGAGTGTGAAATTAAACTACAGCAAACAGCTGTCAAATTGAACTCTGAATTAGACAACTCCTTTCATATACATGTGCCATTTTCCTTTTATGTGAATGTGTGCCAGTACTGGGCTTAAACTCAGTGCCTAAGTGCTGTCCCTAAAGTGTTTTTGTTGTTGTTGTGTTTGGGTCAAGACTACTGTCCTATCACTTGAGCCACAACTTCACTTCCAGATTTTTTTGGTGATGATTGGAGATAAGAGTCTCATGCACACTCCTGCCTAGGCTGGCTTCAAACTACAATCCTCAGATATCAGCCTCCTGAGTAGCTAGGATTACAAGCATTGGCGACTGGTACCCAACTACTTTTTTTTTTTTGTCTTAAAAAAGCTAAATATTTCTAGGCGCCATTGGTTCACACTTACAATCCTATCTACTCATGAGACTGAGGTCTAAGGATCATGGTTTGAAGCCTTTCCAGACAGAAAAGTCCCTGAGACTCTTATCTCTAATTAACAACAACAACAACAAAAAGCCAGAAGTGGAGATATGGCTAATGTGGTAGAATAGTAGCCTTAAGCAAACAAAAGCTCAGGGACAATGCCCAGGCTCTGAGTTGGAGCCCCGGTACTAGCACAAAAAAATACTAAATATTATCCACATATCAATGGCTCACAGCTATAATCCTAGGTAATCATGAGCCTAAGATCTGAGGATTGAAGTTCAAAGCTAGCCCAGACAGGAAAGACAGTGTCCAGGCCCTGAGTTCTAGTCACCTGACAGGCATACACACAAACATACACACCACACACACACACACAATAGTGCCAGGCATTGGTGGCTCACGCTTGTAAACCTAGCTACTGGGGGGCCTGAGATCTGAGCATCACTGTTCTGAGCCAGCCAAGGCAAGAAAGTTAGCAAGACTATCTCCAATTAACCACCAAAAACTTGGAGGCAGAGGTGTTTTTCTGATTTTAGAGTGTAACCTTGAACAAAAAACCTAAGGGACAGCATCTCATCCCAGAGTTCAAGTTATAGTAAGGGCATAGAAAAGCTAAGTGTTTGCTATAAATACACTTGTATGAACTGAGTGCTGATGGCTCATGTCTGTAATCCTAGCTACTCAGGAGGCTAAGATCTGAGTGTTGTGGTTCAAAGCCAGTCCAGGCAGAAAAGTCCCATGAGAGTCTTATCTCCAATTAACCATGCAAAAAAAATGGGAAGTGGTGCTGTGGCTCAAATGGTAGAGCACTAGCCTTGAGCACAAAGAAGCTTGGGGACAGCGCCCAGGACCTAACGTCAATTCCCACAACCTACAAAAAAAATCCTTGTACATAAGTAATTCTAATCAGCACTGTGTTTTTCTTTAGCATACAAACGACTAGATGGTTCCACTGAATGCTGTAATAATCATAGCCTCACAGACGTGTGTTTTTCCTACAGAAATAATTTTAACAAGCGCTTGGTAAGTTGTCCCCAAGGCCTGTCTGATTTAATTTTTACAAAAGAAGTAAAAAACAAAATGGGGCTAGGAAGGTGGCTTGGCGGTAGATGCTTGCCTTGCATGCATAAGGCCATGGCTTCCATTGTTCAGCACCACATCAGCAGAAAAAGCCAGAAGTGGCACTGTGGCTCAAGTGGGAGAGTACTAGCCTTGATCTGAAGAGCTGAGGGACAGTGCCCAGGCCCAGAGTTCAGGCTCCATGACCAACCAAAAAAAAGTAAAAAAAAAAAAAAAAAAAAGATATGACCATAACCCCCACTCTGTACATCACCAGTATAGCAATAAAAACTAAAAATAAATAAATAAAAAGTCAAAAAGCATGCTGGGCACCAGGGGCTCATGCCTGTAATCCTAGCTATTCAGGAGGCTGAGATCTGAGGATCATGGCTCAAAGCCAGCCTGGTCAGGAAAGTCCCTGAGATTCTTATCTCCAATTAACCAACAGAAAATCGAAAGTGGCACTGTAGCTCATGTGGTAGAGCACTAGCCTGAGCTAAAGAGCTCAGGGAGGGCTGGGAAGGTGGCTCAGTGGTAGAGTGTTTGCCTTGCATGCATGAGGCCCTGGGTTTGATTCCTCAGCACCACATAAACAGAAAAAGCCAGAAGTGGCGCTGTGGCTCAAGTGGTAGAGCACTGGTCTTGAGCTGAAGAGGTGAGGGACAGCGCCCAGGCCCAGAGTTCAGGTCTATGACTGGCAAAAATAAATAAATAAATAAATAATAAAATAAAATAAAGAGCTCAGGAACAAGGTCCAGGCCCAGAGTTCAGGCCCCACAACCCAAAAAAAAAAACCTTAAGTGTTATCTATGAAAATTTTTCCTATTGGCTCTATTTAATTTGGTCATTTTATATACATCTCTGAATTCCAGATGTTATATTTTTTCTGAGATTCTTTAAAAATTTATAATGGTCTAATATCTTCTATGACCAGAGTACGATATTTGAAGGTAAGTCTATACACATAAATGACACTTCCTTTTTATGAACTTTATTCCTACTATCTAGATGACATGAAAAACATATTGAGGGGCTGGGAAGGTAGCTCAGTGGTAGAGCGCTTGCCTTGCATGCATGAGACCCTGGGTTCGATTGCTCAGCACCACATAAGCAGAAAAAAAAGTCAGAAGTGGCACTGTGGCTCAAGTGGTAGAGCGCTAGCCTTGAGCTGAAGAGCTGAGCGACAGCGCCCAGGCCCAGAGTTCAGGCCCACGACCAGACCCAAAAAACAACAAAAAACAAAAAAAATATTGAAGCTTGTGTTTTTTGTTAGTAAATGAATCATTTTTAATATTGACTACTTTTTTTTATTTATAGCATACATGTCTACCTGCTCGGAAAGCAGTTGAAGCTACCCAAGTTTGTAGAAGCAATAAAGATTGTAAAAAAAGTTCAAGTTCAAGTTTCTGTATAATACCTTCTTTAGAAACTCATACTCGCTTAATAAAAGTGAAGCACCCACCCCAAATTGATATGTTGTATGTAGGACATCCATTACATCTTCACTACACTGGTGAGTATTAAATAGTATGGTAGAGCCTTAGAAAAACATTAATATCACGTATATTGCCAGGCACCTGTGGCTCACGCTTGTGATCTTAGCTATCCAGGAGGCTGAGATCTGAGGATCACAGTTTCTCAGCCAGCCTGGAAGGGAAAGTTCATGAAATTCTCATCTCCAATTAACAACCACCAAAAAGCCACACTAAAACTGTGGCTCACATGGTAGAATGCTAGCCTTGAGCAAAAGAGCTCAGGAACAGTGCTCAGGCCATAATTTCAAGCCTCAGAATCCACACACACACACAAACCATAAATAGTTTCTTCGGTAGAAACTTAATGCAAATCCCTGCATTGATTTTTTTTTTTAATTATAAGTTTGGTCACTTGTTAAAGGGCTTAAGCTTTTTTATTTAACTGTATTTTTTTAGGGGGGGGGGGCCCGGTCGTGGGGCCTGAACTCTGGGCCTGGGCACTGTCCCTCAGCTCTTCAGCTCAAGGCTAGCGTGCTACCACTTGAGCCACAGTGCCACTTCCGGCTTTTTCCTTTTTGCTTATGTGGTCCTGAGGAATCGAACCCAGGGCATCAAGCATGGAAGGCAAGTATTCTACCACTGAGCCACCTTCCCAGCCCCTTAACTATAGTTTTTGTCTTCTCTTTTTCCTTTTTTGGGGGGAGTCATGGGGCTTGAACTTGTCCCTGAGCATTTTTTACAAAAGTCTATGTGTACCCTTTGAGCCACAGCCCACTTCTGGTTTTCTGGTTAGTTGGAGATGAGAATTTCATGAACTTTCCCTTCTAGGCTGGCTTAGAACTGTGATCCTCAGATCTCAGCCTCCTGAGTAGCTAGGATTATAGGCCTGAGCCACCAGTGCCCAACTTTGCTAGTTTGCTTCCTTGCTTCCTTTTTTTTTTTTTTGGTACTGGGTATCAAACCCAGGACATTGCACTTGCTAGGCAAGTACTTTGCCACTTGCCTACATCCCAGTCCTAAAATGCTTAAGCTTTAGTGAAATTTAACCATACAATAACCTGAATTTATGAAGCAAGATAGAGAACTTACCTGAAGAAAGTGATGCATTTTTCCTTCTCCACTATTTATGCCCAAAACAAATAGATGATCTCTCAGATGTTCTCAGTTCATAAATTCATCTGGGCTCTCCAATTGAGTGGCAGTAGCTGCATACCCTCAAGAAAACCAGGATACATAGTGATATGACTAGTTTATGTATAACACATGGATTTTGTATGATTAAACTAAAAAAATAGCTTCTCCATTCCCTATGTTGCTGGGCACCAGTGGCTTACGTCTATTATAGTGTCTGTTCACCAGGCTGAGATCTGAGGATGGCAATTTGAAACCAGCCTAGACAGAAAAAGCGCATGAGACTCTTGTCTCCAATTGCCTAGCAAAAAGCCAGAAGTAGAATTATTAAGTACTGGCAAGGAAGGAAGGAAGGAATCCTTATGGTACTTTTTCTGTTAATAGTTTACCATACAATTCACTCATTCAAAGTGTACAATTCAATGATTTTTAAATTTCTATTGCTTCCCCAATCCCTGTAGCCCTTGGCTATCACTAATGTAATTTCTGTTTGTATAAATGTGCCTCTCTGGGGCATTTCATATAAGTGGAATCTTTTATGATTATCATATTTCATGTAGCATAATGTTTTCAAGGCATCTTTGACAGATTATATTTTCTTGATTCATCCATTAGTTAATGGATATGAGTTTTATATTACTCTAAAAAGCTTTCTCATTGCTTTGTAGTCATCTATGGAGAAACAATTGGACTCATTTTTCTTACTGGTTTGACACTAACTGACTCTAGACTGTGAATATTAAATACAGTCATGACATATGAAGAAATGACCCTACTTTGAGTAATACAGAAATGTGTATTTATTTATTTATTTTAGACAAAAATCAATATTAAGGCCTCTGTACTTGATAGTACTAATTGGTGGATAGCTTTATTTCACTCTCACCTGAAAACATCGTAGAGCTGGGTGCTGGTAGCTCACACCTGTAATCATACCTATGCAGGAAGCTGAGATATGAGGATCATGGTTTGAAGCTAAGTCTGTGAGACTTTTATCTCCAATTAACCACCAGAAAACTGGAAGTGGCGCTGTGGCTCAAAGTGGTAGAGTGCAAACCTTCAGCAAAAGAGCTCAAGGACAGCACTCAGGCCCTGAGTTCAAGCCCCATGACACTAGGATATTAATTTTTTATCCTGCCTTTTTAAAATTTTTTCTGTGTGTATTTGTCAGTCCTGGGGCTTGAACTCAAGGCCTAGGTACCATCTCTTAGCTATTTCCACTCAAAATTGATACTCTACCACTTGAGCCACACCTCCACTTCCAGCTTTTTCTTGTTAAGAGTCTAGGATCTGTCTATTTGGCCTGGCTTCAAATCACAATCCTCAAATTACAGCCTTCCAAGTTGCTAAGATTACAGGTGTGAGCCACCCATGCCATTTAATGCCATTGTTCTTTGTTCATTGGTTTTATATATGAGGAATATAGTCTGGCTATATATGCTTTAAAAAGATGTTCTCAGCCAATTTAATAGGTTAGCCTAATATTGTACTATATGGTAATTTTTCAGAGTACTTCTGGTTATCGGTTATGAAAAATATTCATAATTTCTTTTGTTTCCTTTTTTAGTGAGCATCACCAGTTTTATTCCACGTTTCAATTTTCTAAGCATAGATCTGCCAGTGATTGTGGAGACATTTGTCAAGTATCCTTTTGGTGTTAAAAAAAAAAGATTTAAAAAGTGTGTTTTGGGGATTGGGAATGGGGCTTAGTGGTAGAGTGTTCGCCTAGCAGGCATGAGACCCTGGGTTTGATTCCTCAGTACCACACAAGCAAAAGAAAGTGTGTTTTGGAGCTTGATCACATTTGCTTTATATAAAACATTACAAATATGAATTTTACTATAAGTATCACTTAATTTAAAAAAAGATTTTGAAGTTGAAAGAGACCAGGTTTATATGGAAGGGCAGAAGTCAGAGAAGAAAGATTAATGAGGAAGGGAATAATGTTCAGATGTGGAAGCGGAGGAATTCAGAATATAAAAAGAGAATTGAATTAACAGGAGGTTTGTAACAGATAAAAGAGTTTGTTATTAGCCAGGTAATCGATTCTGCCAGATTTGGTCTTCTTAGTCCTGACCTTTATAACATTAGTGGGGATATGTAAATCCAACATCCTGGTCTTAGGGAGGAATGCCTAAGGAAGATCAAACTGGTTTCTATTGCTGAAATAGTAATTCAGAGGACAAAAATTTTATGTGGTCTTTAGTATGTTATGTTTCCATGTGTATAAGATGACTTTTAGGGCTGGGAAGGCGGCTCAGTGGTAGAGCGCTTGCCTTGTATGCATGAGGCCCTGTGTTCGATTCCTCAGCACCACATAATTAGAAAAGGCCAGAAGTGGCACTGTAGCTCAAGTGGTATTATGCTAGCCTTGAGCTGAAGAGCTGAGGGACAGTGCCCAGACCCAGAGTTCAGGCCCCACAACCGACCAAAAAAAAAAAAAAAAAAAGATGACTTTTTAAATCAGTTACTATATAGAATTGAATTATTGGAAATTTTTGGAAGTATTTTTTGTGCCAGCACTAGGGGTTAAACTCAGGGCGTGGACACTGTCCTTGAACTTTTTCCCTCAAGGCTGATACTATACCACTTGAACCAGAGCTCCACTCCAGCTGCTGGTAGTTAATTGGAGATTAGAGTCTCATGGAATTTCCTGCCCAGCCTGTAGATAGGATTATAGGAGTGAGCTACCAGCGCCTGGCCGAGAGACTATTGTCTCCATATAATCAGAGAAAAAGCGGGAAGTAGTGCTGTGGCTCAAGTGGTAGAGTGCTAGCCTTGAACAGCACCCAGGCCCAGAGTTCAAACCCCAGGAGACTCCTCCTCCCCCCCTCACAAATAAAACAAAGAAATGAAAGAATAAGGAAAAAAACAGAAATGGAATACAAACGAGCACTTGCTAAAATTGTGTATAACCAAGACTGTACCTTGTAGATTCTGTACCTTTGTCACAGAGAGACATGCTATAACCTTATAGATGATAGCAAAAGAAGGCAGGGCTCACAGTCAAAATCTGTTTCAGGGCTGTGAATACAGCTTAGTGGTAGAGTGCTTGCCTAGTATGCATGAAGCCCTAGGTTAGATTCCCCAGTAGCACATACATAGAAAAAGCCAGAAGTGGTGCTGTGGCTCCAGTGGTAGAGTGCTAGCTTTGAGCATAGAGAGGCTCAGGGGCAGTGCCCAGTCCGTGAGTTCAGGCCCCAGGACCACAAAAAAAAAAACTATATTTCTTTTTTTTCTCTTTCTTTCCTCCTTTTCCTTTATTTTATTGTTAAAAGACTACAGTCTTCCAGGCACTGGTGGCTCGTTTCCTGTACTCCTAGCTATTCCAGAGGCTGAGCAATCTGAGGATCCTTGTTCAAGTCCAGCCAGGGCAGGAAAGTCAGTAAGATTCTGGCACACACAAAAAGTAGATTCCCAAAGAATAAAGTCTTCCTAGGGGTTATATAGACTGCCTATAAGTGGTTTACCTTTTTTTGTTTGTCAGGGCTTTTGAACTTCAAAATAATACATAGTCCGTGTGTGTGTGTGTGTGTGTGTGTGTGTGTGTGTGTGTGTGTGTGTGTGTGTGTGTGTGTGTGTGTGCGCGCGCGCGTGTGTGTGTGCGCGCGCGAGCACACATGGGCATGCGTGTGCGCCCATGTGTGCTTGTATGTGATTATATATATGTGGCAGTCCTAGTACTTGAACTCGGCCACTGTCCCTGAAATTTTGCTCAAGACTAGAGCTCTAACACTTGAGCCATAACTTCACTTCTCAATTTTTGGTAGTCAATTGGAGATAAGAATCTTAGTACTAGTCGGGCACTGGAGGCTAGTGCCTGTAATCTGAGCTACTCAGGAGGCTGAGATCTGAGGATCATAGTTCAAAGCCAGCCCAGGCAGGAAAGTCTGTGAGATGCTTATCTCCAATAAACCACTAGAAAACCAGAAGTGGTGCTGTGGCTCAAGTGGTAGAGCACTGGCCTTGAGCTGAAGAGCACAGGGAAACCACACCCAGGCCCAGAGTTCAAGCCCCACGAAAGACAAAAAAAAGAAAGAAAGAATCTTAGGACTTTCCTGCCACAGATTGGCTTTGAACCACAATCCTCAGACCTCAGCCTCCTGAGGGCTAGGATTGCAAGTTTGAGCCGCCAGTACCCTGCTGCAAATTCCTTCCTTCCTTCCTTCCTTCCTTCCTTCCTTCCTTCCTTCCTTCCTTCCTTCCTTTCTTTTTTTTTTTTTTTGCCAGTCCTGGGGCTTGAACTCAGGGCCTGGGCACTGTCCCTGAGCCTCTCTATGCTCAAGGCTAGCACTCTACCACTTGAGCCACAGTGCTGCTTCCTACTTTTTGATGGTTAATTGGAAGTAACAGTTTTATGGACTTAACTGCCAGGGACTCGCTTTGAACCAGGATCCCAGATCTCAGCCTCCTGATTAGCCAAGATTATAGGCATGAGCCACTTTCACCTGGCGCAAATTTCATTTGGTATTTTTTTTTTTGCCTTGTTTTTTTTGGTACTGGGGAGCAAACCCAGGGCGTTGCATTTGCTAAGGAAGCACTTTGCCACTGAGCTACATCCCAGCCCACAAGTTGTGTTTTGAAATAGTAGAGAACTAAGAAGAAATGTTAGAGAGTTAAAGAAAGCAGAGAATTGTATTGTAATCTCAAACTCAGTCCCAGTCCAGTATATTCTGATTGCCCCAAAGGTGGTTTCCAGTTGGACCTCACAGCTGGCTCCTTAACTGATTTTAACTCAGGTACCTGATTTCCCTCTCTGGAGCTCTGGCTATTGTGAATGCTGTCCCCTGCTTTGCCTTGGATGGTCAGTGGATTTTAAACTCTTTTCTGGATGCTACCCTTACCTCAGTGATTGGAGACAATGATGTCAAAGATCTGATAGGATTTTTTATCTTACTTGGTGGCAGTGTACTTTTAGCTGCCAATGTGACCCTGGGACTCTGGATGGTTACAGCACGGTAATATTTGCTCTCTTCTGACAGAATCTCCGAGTTCCCTTCTACATCTGTGTGGTAATATCCATTGCCATTAACATCCTTATTCAGTATGAAATGTATTTCTTTCTAGTTGCATCATGGCCAATATCATTGAGCTCTTCCTATATCTAGAGTACCCAAACTCTGTGGTGTAGGATGAGCAGAAGGAATGAAAGGCATAGTCCCCAACTGCATTTCTAGTTTTAAAAGACTGAATGTACAAATCTCACCTGTTTGTGGAACAATTTCTAAACAAGTACAAATTCATTCATATAGTACCATGTCCTGTGATTACATAGCATATTGAAGTAGTACAGAGGAGAGCAGAATTGAATAGAAATAATTAGGAAAATGTGTGTGGCTCTGGGGATCAAACCCATAGCCTCATATGCTAGGCAAGTGCTCTACCACTACACTACAGGCCCATCCCCAGGGAAAACCAGTTGAAATATCATCATTAAGCTGGATGTGGTGGTGCACACCTGTAGTTCCAGCACTCGGAAGATTAAAGCAGGAAGATTGCAAGTTTGAGGCCAGCCTGGGATCCATAGCAGGTTCCAGGCTAGCCTTGCCTACATATATAGCAAGACCCTGTCTCAAAAGCAAACCAAACAAACAAAGCACACCATCATTTCTAAAGATTTAAAAGAAATCAAATTTTGGCCAAGTAGAAAGGTGAATGTGTTCATAGCCTATATTTCTTATCCTCTGTCATATTTAAGAAGTATTTTAAACATGAATGGTGTATTATTTTATACTCTGAAAACAGAAGTCTGATTAAAATTAAGTTTAATAAAATTCTATACGAGAATTTGCCTATATGACCGGAAAATCTTTGTCAGATGACACTAAGAGACAAATTAGGAAGGAGGGCCTATGATCTCATGAGACAGTTTATACCACAAGCATTGTCTCTTTGTTAATGTGTGCTGCAGGAAGTATCTCACACAGCAGCATGTCAGCTCAGGCACTTAGAATTGAACCTCAGAAATATGCCAGGTTCTCTGATCACAAGACAGAACATAGGATCTTTAGCAGACCTGGTTACCATTCTCTAGAGTTCTGAAGCTTGGGAGCCTTCCAGGGTAGATATTGTCCCTTGTTGCAGCTGAGGCCATCTAAGGCCTATGTTCCTGAAGCATTAAACCCCAAGCTGCACTCTGTTCTCACCAGCAGCTCCCGTGTTTCTCTCTGTTGGGTGATCAGTCACCTAGCTCTTGCTTTCAGTGTCTCCCCTGAGCTACCTCTGTGGATCCACAGCAGTAATATGGTGAAAATGGCTTGCACATGAGACAGTATAAGGGTGGATTTGCCAAAGCCTGGGACTAGATTCTTAAACCTGACAGGCCTAGTCTTGTATCTAGTCAATGGGCCCCGTGCAAAGTTGTTGCTCTGAGAAACATGGGAGCAAGCTATTTTCTTCATGCACAATGCACACTTCTGTCTTATACTCGAGAGGTGACAAAAGCAATAATTCATTGTAGCCAGGTACCTGCCTTCACAAATTGAGGTGTTCCATGGAGTTACCTTTTTCAGATTATTAGCGACTCTTTAAGCACTAGAACTTTTAAATCATTTTTAGAAACTTTTTTAGATTGTACTACAAATTTGCCTTCCTTCTTAAACACAAATTATATATATTGGACATCATTTTAGCATTTTATTAATGACCTGGGTTATCAGAATTAAAAATCATACAGATCGCTGGTTTCTCCAGAAAATATGGCATATACATGTTCAGTAAACAGTCATTGGGGACCAAGGTATATTAAGCATGGTTATGCTTAGACCTGTTCCGGAAGTTGAGCTTGGGGAAATGCCATGAAATATTCATGTAATTAATTTGATTACATGTATTAAGTGGCTTATTAATGAAAATGTTCTATATTGTGCACATTGGTTTTTCAAAATTGAAAAGAAAGTTTGTTTTGCTGGGCACCAGTGGCTCACACCTGTAATCCTAGCTACTCAGGAGGCTGAGATCTGAGGATCTCTTTTCAAAGCCAGCCCAGGCAGGAAAGTCCATGAAATTCTTATTTCCAATTAACCACCAGAAAACTGGAAGTGGTGCTGTGGCTCAAGTGGTAGAGTGCTAGCCTTGAGCTGAAGAGCTCAGGAACAGCACCCAGGCCCAGAGTTCAAGCCCCATGACTGACAAAAAAAATGTTTTGCAGTACTAGGGATGGAACTCAGGGCCTCATGCTTGTGAGGCAAGTATTCTACCACTAAGCCACACCCTTCTCCCAAGAGGGAAAATAGTAAGAGGAAATCCTATCCATTAACTACTTCTTTTTCAGAGTCACAGACAAAAAAGGCATTTTATTTTAGCTGTTAGTCTGCTGTTAGGTTGGATAAGGGTTTGAGAATCACCCTGCTAGGAAAGTCTGAGCAGATCAGTAACATTTGTATAGAAATGGCCTATTGCATAAGAAAGGAAATGTGTTTTCTCTGTTGAGCTTGATTGTGGGCTCTTTATAGCAAGGACCATGTCATATTCAGCTTTGTGTCCCTGACACAGTGCATGAGACATCCTAAGTACTTAATTAATGTGGTTGAATGGATGGTGATTAGTGTTATTTATGGATTAGCAAAGCATGTTTCTATTTAAGTGATCTGTAAAAAGGGTTATTGAATATTTACTGTAAATAAATGTTAACATAAAAAGAACTTGGAAGGTCTTTATGTCCCTGGTGTATCATCATCTTTATGGAAAGAATCCATTTTGACTTCCATAGAGCAATTAGAAAACTGGATCATTTTTGAGGATTTGGAAAAGGTATTCTTTCTGTATTGTCACTTTGTTCAATAGTAAAACTTGATTCCAGTGTTCCTATTCTGCATTGTTTACATATTTGAGGGTTTTTAAATAATCACCTACAACCTTTAAAGAATGTATATATTCTTTTCAGCATCTCAGTTTGAAGAGACATGCAATTAGACATGACCTTTTGATAATCTCTCGTAGTTACTGTTCTAACAGCCAATTATAAACGTTCTTCATAGTTGTTTGGTCCTCGGTCATCATTCTGACCTATGGTATTTATTGAATGTTATGTGACAGTAGTGCATAGGTAGTTTTTTCTATAAATCTTTGTGCTGAAATTCATTCTTAAGCTTTTATTTGACAATGTCACAATTGCCCACATTTGATGTTTAGTAATAAAAAAAAATGTATACCAGCATTTTATGTTTCTCATTTTTTGTCTTTTTTAAAACTGCACTTTTTTTCTCTCACAGTTCTTCCCTTTACATTGAATAGTATCTTTGTTGTTTTTAAATTCTTGATTCTAAAAGTGGCCTTGCATTTTATTCATTTAATCTACATGTTTTTGCTGGCCTCAGAAAGAAAAAAAGTCTTTTTTTTTTTCCAGTTGTGGGGTTTGAACTTGGGGTCTGGGCACTGTCCCTGAGCTCTTCTGCTCAAGGCTTGTGGTCTACAAGTTTGAGCCATGGCACCACTTCCCATTTTTGAGTGGTTAATTGAGATAAGAATCTCACGGAGACTTTTAAGCCTGGGCTGGCTTTGAACCACGATCCTCAGATCTCAGCTTCCTGAGTAGCTAGGATTACAGGTGAGTCACTGGTGCCTGACAAAAAAAGTCTCAAGTGAAGTTCTTGTGTATCCTCAGTACAATTTCAGAAATGGCTGGTTTATGAATGAAAAAAGTCTATCATATTTCATGAGTGCTGGACAGAATTTTTCTGTAAGTTCACCTGTATTTTTAGTGTGTGTGTGTGTGTGTGTGTGTGTGTGCGCGCGCGCGCGCGTGCTAGTCCTGAGGCTTGAACTCATAGTCCTGAGGCTTGAACTCATAGTCCTGAGGCTTGAACTCAAGACCTAGGCTCTGTCCCTTACCATTTTTGCTCAAGACTAGTGCTCTACCACTTTCGCCACAATTCTACTTCTAGCTTTGTTGGTAGTTTATTAGAGATGAGTCACACAGTCTTATTGTCTTATCTCTCCTGCTCAAGCTGCCTTTGAACCACAATCCTCAGATCTCAGCCTATTGAGTAGCTAGGATTACAGGCATAAGCCACTGGTACCCCTTAATTTCTGACATTTTTAGTAGTTTATTGGAGATAAATGCCTCATGAACTTGGCTGCGCAGGCCAGCTTCAAATCGTTATCTCAAATCTCAACCTCCTGAGTAGCTAGGATTACAGGCATGAGACACCAGTGTCCAGCAACATATTTGCTTTTAGTCTAAAACAAATGGGTATAATACCTTTGAGATGAATTTTTTTTAGATGAACCTTTTTTAATCCATCTGTTTATAAGCCATACTTATTGAATTATCCATTGTCTATTTTATTCGACCTTGGCAGATGAATTCATGAAAGGAAAACCTATATTTCATAACATAACATTACAATAGGCTACAATCAGGGTGGAGGTGGAAAAACTGGCTAGAGGAAGCGGTATTCTAGTTACAAAAATGGCTAGAGGAAGTGGTAATTCTAATTATAAAACAGGTTATATTGTATGGTTTAATTTTCCATTGGATAATACACCTTGTTTTCTTGTGCCAGTCCCTGGGCTTGAATTCATGACCTAGGCACTGCCCCTGAGCTATTTCTATTCAAGGTTAATGCTCTTCCATTTGAGCCATAGCTCTACTACTGGATTTTTGGTGGTTAATTAGAGATAAAGAGTCTCACAGACTTTCCTACCCATGCTGGCTTTGAATTATATTCCTCAAATCCCAGCCTCTTGAGTAGCTAGGATTATAGGTGTAAGCCACTGCCTCCTGGCCAACACTGCTTAAATTTATTTAGCTGAAAGTTGATATGTAGTCATAAATTGTCCCACCTTATTCACTAAAGGCTTTTCAAACTTCTCTACTGATGTGTTATTGACACTGTAGTACTCGAAAACTAAGAAGAATCTAAGAGTCCAATTCTGCAATTGGTTCTCCATGGTATAAAACAAAGTATCACTTTACCTTGATTTAATGTGTGTTTTGCATCGTATTAATTAGATGTCATAAAGCCACTACACCCCACCCTCTCTCTTCTTTCTCTCTTCTCTCTCTTGGTAGTCATGGGATTTGAAATCTGGGCTTGGGTGCTGTCTCTAAGCTCTTCAGCTCAAGGCCAGAACTCTAGCACTTGAGTCCCAGTGCCACTTCTGGTTTTCTGGTGATTAATTGGATATGAGTCTCATGGACTTTCCTTGCTCAGGCTGGCTTTGAACTGCGATTCTCAGACCTCAGCCTCCTGAGTAGCTAGGATTACAGGCATGAAACACCAGTGCCCGGCTTCTGTCTATCTTTTTTGCTGGTCCTGGGGCTTGAACTCAGGGCCTGGGCACTGTTCCTGAGCTTCTTTTGCTCAAGGCTAGCACTCTACCACTCAAGCCACAACGCCACTTTTGGCTTTTTCTGTGTATGTGGTACTAAGGAACAGAGGGCTTCAAGCATGTTAGGCAAGCACTCTACCACTAAGCCACATTTTCAGCCCACCACTACCTCTCTTAAATGTATAACACTCTTGACAGACACCAGTGGCTCATTCCTGTAACCTTAGCTATTCAGGAAACTGAGGTTTGAAGATTGAGATTCAAAGCTATCCCAGGCAGGAAAGTCTGTAAGACTCTTTTCTCCAATTAAGGATAAAAAATGAAGTTGGGTGCTGGTGGCTCATGCCTATAATCCTAGCTACTCAGGAGGCTGAGATCTGAGGATCACCATTAAAAGCCAGTCCAGGCAGGAAAGTCCATGAGACTATTATCTCCAATTAACCACCAGAAAACCAGAAATGGTGCTGTGGATCAAGTGGTAGAGCACTAGCCTTGAGCTAAAGAGCTCCAGGACAGCGCCCAGGCCCAGAGTTCAAGCCCCATGACCGACCAAAAAAAAAAAAAAAACATAAAAAATGCCAGTAATGGAGCTGTGGTTTAAGTGGGAGTGCACAAAGCACTAACCTTGAGCACAAAATCTGAAGGACAGTGCCCAGCCTGAATTCAAGCCCCAGAGCCTCATACCAAAATGTAAAATAAAAAGAGCCAGGCATTGGTGGTTCACACCTGTAATCCTAGCTACTCAGAAGGCTGAGAACTGAGGCCTGAGATTTAAAGCTAGTGTGGGCAGTAAAGTACATGAAGCTGTGGCTCAAAGTGGTAGAACACCAACCTTGAGCAAAAAACTCAGGGACAGCACCCAAGCCCCATATTCAAACACCATGACCAACCAAAAAAAGAAAAAAAGGTGTGATACTATTAATGGTACAAAAATTAGACTTCTAAAAGGTTAGAATTGTAGATCTTTTTTTGTCTTTTGTTGTTGTTAGTCATGGGGCCTGGGTGCTGTCCCAGTGCTTTTTCACTCAAAGCTAGAGCTTTACCACTTGAGCCACTTCTGGTTTCTGGTGGCTTGTTGGAGATAAGTCTCACAGACATTCCTACTTGGGCTGGCTTTGAACTATGATCGTCAGATCTCAGCCTCTTAAGTCACCAGGATTACAGATATGAGACATTGGTGCCCAGCTGCTGCTGCTGCTGCTGCTGCTGCTGCTGCTGCTGCTGCTGCTGCTGCTGCTGCTGCCTCTTTCTTCTTCCCCTTCCTCCTCTTCTTCTTCCCCTTCCTCCTCCTCCTCCTCCTCCTCCTCCTCCTCCTCCTCCTCCTCCTCCACCTCCTCCTCCTCCTCCTCCTCCTCCTCCTCCACCTCCTCCTCCTCCTCCTCCTCCTCCTCCTCCTCCTCCTCCTCCTCCTCCTCCTCCTCCTCCTCCTCCTCCTCCTCCTCCTTTCAGCTGTGACTCAAGTTGTAGAGTGCCAGCCTTGAGCAAAAATCTAGGAGGCAATGCCCAAGCCCCACTATTAACATACAAAAAAGGAATGTGAAAATCCTAACTTTTTTTACTAATCCATAGGAATATTAGTCATCAAGAAAGCCTACAAAGCCAGGCA